ATATATATATATATATATAGATTTATGTATTAGTTTTGTTAGTGCCAATTGAAACGCATCATGATTTCTCTAAAATTATTTTTACGTCGATCAACCAAGACGAACCGTTGACTTCAACGCCACAATCTTGCCAAATTTCAAATATTATTTATGTATATCTTGGTATTAAGTTTGTTGTTAATTATATATATACATATATATACGAAAAGTACGTAATATGAAAGTACGATTTCTCCGAATGCAAATAATTGTATTGTACAAAGAAAAATTATATGTATATATGTATTGGGTATATATATATATATATATATATATATATATATATATGCATAATATATATGTATATGTATATGTATATATAAAATATATAATGTAATATTATTGTACTTATTTTAATAAGTATAATAACATTAATTAATATTATACAAATAAAATTTACTTATTAGTTATATTATATCATTAGTAAGTAAACTTTATTATAATATTATTTATATATGATTGATATTATATATATATGTATACATATACATATAAATATTGTATAAATTATTGTACAGTATCATTGTACGGCCTACGGAAGATCGTATAGAAATTAATTTTTACATAATTAATTATTATTTTGAAATAATCCATTGCTTTTTGCTTTTATTTTATTTTATTTTTTTTTATTCATTTAAATAAAAGAAAGAAATAGATTTAAAATAGAAAGTCAATTGTAGGACATTTGAAGTGCAATGGATAATCTGTTTGTTTTTTTTTTCTTTTCTTCGGATCTTCCATTTACGGGTTTAAGAAGTAGATCTTATATTCCATATTTTTTTTTTTACGATCGATCTTTGATCTCTCTATCGAATATATTATATTATACTCTATTACATTTATATTAACTCATAATATGTAACAACGATTTTCCGTACCTAAATATGTATTTTTCTTTTCTTTGGGATATGCTGCTCTTCACGTTAATTCATGGTATTCTATAACAATATGTATTAGTAGTATATGTTGATTATCATAGCGATAGATTATGCGTTCATTAGTTTTTAAATTAAATCATTATTATTTTTATTGTTCTTAATATTTAAATATTGTTTTCTTTTATTTTTAGTTGTTTTTTTTGTTTTTTCAGGAGAGAGCGAAAATATTCCTCAGTATCGAGTATCGTACCAATCAGTTTATTCAAAGTACTTTTTAAATTAGATGGATCAGGGATTTTTTTTTTGTCACCGATTAATTATATTTAAAACAGAAATACAAATAAATGTTTATTTTCATTCATCAATTTACTTACGAAGAAAATCTTCTTATCTTTGTACAACGAGAATATCATTTATTCTACTTGATCGAGTTAATTAAAATGCACTCTTTATGTTTATTAAATATATATATATATATATATATATATATATTTTTTTTTTCGTATTTTAATTTGCTTCGAAATAGCAAATAGTTCAAAAATGTTGTCTTCCTTAACAAAACTAGGATATGTATTTCAATGTAGAAAATATTTTTAGCTTTATGATTGTTCCAATTTTGTTATTACCGTTTTATTAATAATTCAATCTTTAATCATTATTATTATTATTATTATTATTATTATTATTATTATTATTATTGTTATTATTATTATTGTTATTATTTATTCCTTCATGTTCCCATTAATACTTTTTTGCTATAAGCGATTTAACCAGTTATCTGTGCATGACGAATGTACTCGTCATGAAGATATTGTAATATTTTGTCTTATGACAAATATATTTGTCACGTGAAAAAATTCATTACTATCTGTAATTTAATCATTTAGCAATGGTGATCTTAAATTGAATTAATAATACTAAATGTTATTATTTCTTCATGACGAATATACTTGTCAATCATAATTAAGTGGTTTTAATTTACAATTAGACATATATATCTAATATGAATGAATCTTTTAATACATTAGCAGCCTAATCAATACTCATATTTTTTTCTATGCATTTCATTTTAGTTTTTTTTTTTTTTTTGTATTTTTCTCACCCTTTTTTTTTCTCTCTCTCTCTCTCTCTCTCTTTCTCTTTCTTTCTCTTTTTCATAATTTTGTAAATGTGATTTGTATCGATAATGATTTTTGTTGTGTTCATGTTTCGCTTGTTTCTTTTTCGTTGTTTATTACTTTTTGTTCGTTATTCTCCTTTTTTTTTTTTTTTTTTACAAATTAAATATGTACCATTTTGTTTTTTTTTATACATGTATTTTTATTGAATAATTTTAATCGATTTTTTTTTCATGTTCGTTTCACATTCCAATTTTTAACTTTTGCAAATTAGTAAAATGAATACAATATTCGTCTACGATAATTATTATTATTATTACTATTATTATTATTATTTGTCTTTTCTCTATCGATCAGATAATATAGTGTATTTTTAAACGATAGTAGAAGAAACATTTCTTTGCAATATAATCGATGTAACAAATATCTATCATTTAACGTAGTTATTTGTCAAGTGTGACTTGATCTAAAAATGAAAATGCATTGATAAATTATATCATAGATAAATAAAATCATTCAATTATTTTATTCTAATACGAAAAAAAAAAAACAAAAAAACGAAAGTTAGAAATTAACTTCAAAAATTCAATATTTGTCCAATTAACTGATGATGTACACTGGGTGTATAAAGGCGTCCGAGCGAAAGTCAATGGTAAAACATATTTAAAGAGAAAAAAAAAATTAAAAATACATTCGACGGTAGATTATTAATTAATGAATGAATTAATTAACGTAAGACAACAACAACAAAAAAAAACCAAGTGATTAGTTTTCATTCAAAATGTTTTCTCCTCTCATTCACTTGTGCCTTGCCCTCGCGATCATCCTTTACTATTCAGTAGTCCTAAAATTCCTTCTCGAATTTTTAGAATCCTAACCCTTAAATCTAATCCCTTCATCCCTATCCAGAATATCCTTTTTATGAAAAAATAAAAAAAAAAAAATAATGAAAAAATTAAACGTTTTCAATGTTCGATGTTCTTTCTACGATTAAGAATATACGAGTTAGGATTACGCACTTGATATACATACGCATATATAAATATATATATATATCGCTTCGTTAATTGTAACGTCGTAGAATGTAATTGAAATAATAAATGTACGTATATATATATATATATATATATATTATATCGCATAGTAATTAATAACGAAGGCAATTTTAAGACGAGATGAATCGTCATTTGGAATTTTTTCACGAGTTTTAATATTCGTGAGAGATTATGATGTAATGCTATATCATCTTATATTTAACAACAAAAAAAAAAGAAAATAACGAAATATAATATAAATACGCTATAAAATAAATTATAGTTGAAAGAAATTGATGCGAAATAGACATTATCTAAAATGAAAAAAAAGAGAGAGAGAGAAGGTTGATATAATCAATAAGATTTCATAATTATCGAATTGATCAGTAATGAATCACGTATGAAGGTATACAGCGGATTAAATAAGTATTGGTACATCACAATTTTTGTAAATATCTTTAATTATTGAAGGATATTGCTGACATCATGTACGTCATTTTATGTCTTTTAATGTACACTAGTTGTTTACCAAAGTACATTACTTAATAATAATAATAGCAAAAGTTATAAAAAGAAATAACCAAAATTTTATAGTCAATAAAGTATTGGCACAGTTACACTCTGTAATCGTAGATTTTCAGTTTCTCTTTTTAAAATATTTTTTATACCATTTCTAAGAACACAAATGTAAATTAACATATTATCTTGACTTCTGCGTTTCGATATAAAATAATATGTTAATTTACATTTGTGTTCTTAGAAATGGTATAAAAAATATTTAAAAAAGTGAAACTGAAAATCTACGATTACAGAGGGTAACTGTGCCAATACTTTATTGACTATAAAATTGTGGTTATTTCTTTTTTTTTTATAATTTTTGCTATTATTATTATTAAGTAATATACTTTGGTATACAACTAGTGTACATTAAAAGACATAATGTCAGCAATATCCTTCAATAATTAAAGATATTTACAAAAATTATGGTGTGACAATATTTATTTGATCCACTGTACATTAAAAATCACAACTCATTTACTTGAATGAATGAATGAATGAATTAACTTACTTGATAATTAAAATGATATTAGGCGGAGGTTAGTTATTGGTAGGAAACGATTTGTTGTTGGAGAAATAAATAAAAAAAAAAAAAAAAAACAAAAAAAAGATCGATGTCTCCCCTTTTTCGCAGCTCACACGTTGTAAAACAAAGAGGAAAAGAAAAAAAAGAAAAAAAGAAAATAATAAGAAAAAGAAAAAAAGTTAATGAAAATAATACATACTGTGTTGATATATAAAGTTAAATTGTATCACAAATAATAATTATCTTCAATAAGTGTATCTCATGGAACAACTTTGTGTCTATTTCTCTATCTTTGTGTTACAGAAACTAATGAAATATCTATCTATCTGTATCGATAAAATAATCTTTTTAAACTCACATAGACGAGATCGTTCGTAATGCTTCCAAACGTATTTTGAAAAAAATAAAAAAAAATAAAAAAAATAAAAACAAGGATACCATTTTAAGTCTTCCTTCTCAATCTCGTTTTATGAAAATTTGCATAATATACATATATATATATATATACGCACGAGAGTGCATATGTGCATGTGTTTATGTTAAGATAACAATCACGATAGATTTGAAATAAGATAAAGTATTAATTTGTTTAATAAATTCAAAAAATTGATGTGATTTAAAAGCAGTAGTATTCAATTTATTGTTAATCATGTTCCATTTTTAGAATTCGAATGCCCCCTTTCCTTTTTGACACATATATTTTCTTCGAATAGTGAATTCCTATTGGTGTAGTAGATGAAGCTTAAAAGGTCAATTAATTTGATTTAAATAAACTTTCAAAAAACATCGCATCAATGAACAGAGAAAAATAAAAAAAAAAGCAAAGTTCCGTGCAACAAATTGAAACTCTTAATAATCCAGTCTCCAATTGTTTTTCTTAAAGATTAAATTGTACTCCCCCTTGTGGAATGTACACCCCATATTAAGAATCACAATGTTGTAGGAAGAAAAATGAACGAATGAACGATTTCATGTTTAACAAAAAAGCAATACGAATATGTTTTTTTTTTTACTGTGCACGGTGAAATTTTAACCTTGTTTATGTATTTCTATTTGATATATATATATATATACACATGCACGTATATATATATATATATGTATATAAATTGTTGTTAATAAACCATTAAAGATAAGTCCGTCAAACTTGATGTATTTTCTAGACAAAAAAAGAGGAATGGAATTTAGAGAAAAACTTGTTAACTATACTTCGTCTAGTAACAACAAATCACATGATAACAAATATACGCGATAATTCAGGAGTATATAATGATATTCTATATATGGCTGTATTGTATTGTAAAATTAAAGGCACAGTATATACAATAAACTTTACTGTCGTAGGACATCGAATTTTGTTTCTTTTATCATTTTTTCGTTCTCTTCATTACACAAAATACACGCACATATATCTATATAATTGTTGTTGTTAAATAAAACATTAAGTGATATAAGTCGTCAAACTGAATGTATTTTCTAGTGAACAAAAATGAAGAACGGCATTTCGTGAAAAGGGTTGTTGTTTAATAAATTAAACGATGATATCAAAGAGTCTATAACGATATTCTATAAATGGCTGTATTGTATTGTAAAATTAAAGGCACAGTATATACAATAAACTTTATTGTCGTAGGACGTTTGAATCTTTTCTATTTTTTTTTTTTTTGTTATTCTTTTTATTAATGTTTTATGCATCACAGCGTTAGAAGTGCGAAATGTTACATACGTTTCTGAGATTCGTTATTATGCATATTGCTGGTAGGTACGTTTTTTCAATTTAATTTAAATATTATTACATTAGATATGTTTATTAATTGCATCGTCTGAGGTATACGGTTTTTGTAAATACGTCACCAAAAGATGATATCTGTCTAACACGCTGTATTCTTGTTGACATTTGTCAGCTTTATTCGTAAATAGAATTTTTCTGCTTATTATTTCGCGTATCAGAATGTCTTCGAATTCTTCTTTGTAATCGTCTGGTATTCTCGAAATGAATGGATTAACAGCGAGGGCGTGTCCTGTAATTACAAATAACATTATCATTAAATCTAAATTCATTTTATCAAACGTCATATTTCACTTTTCGAATAATGAAGAAATATATATATATATATTCGTTGCTTTTATTATTTACTTTTCAAACTTTGAATATTTTGATAGATGAAGCTCTTTTCACGTTTACTGCAATGGAGAACATTGAATCCGATGTCCTCTAGAATGGATCTCAATGCACCTCTCGAATCGTTGCAATAATGAAAGTATGGGATGTATTTATGTGCATCCTGAAATATAGAGTTTGTTTTCACGAGTTTCAGTGTTCAAAGATCATAGTGATTAGATTATTGTATTAGAACAAGTAAAATATCACTTACGTATTATTGTTAGATATTTTCTTCAAGCTGTATTTAATAGGATCGATGTTAGGTTATTGGTTTGTTTATACTTTAGCAATTTATTATTCAAATGTGCAATCGTATTAAGATTACGTATAGAATTATACGCGAAAATATAATTTTTTGTATCTATTCGATAAAAAAGTGTATTTTGAAATATGTTCATTCTGCATTTGTTTGAATGAGCATTTTTGTAATAACATAAATTATGATTATTAACACCGATAATTAAAAGCTGATTAATAAATTTTTGTTCGATAAGCATTGGTAATAAAAAAACCTATTTATAGGCTAGCTGTCGTTAAAGTGTTAAGAATAAGTTCATATTAAAATCGATTTATTTTGATAAAGAATAATATTTTCGACATATATTTTTATTCGTTCTTGAAGCTTTTTTTCGAATCTTCGGAAAAGGTATTAAGTTTGCGATAGTGGGACTACGGATGCTATAATGATAAAATTATAGAAAAAAAAAAAATGCAGATATAGACACATACACATGCATAAAAAGATTAATACGATACCTGCATATACTGTTGAAATCGTGGATTTTCGTGTATTCTGACGTAAGCATCGAAGCCATCGTTGTATGCGAGGAACATAATCAATGCCTTGCCACCGGGTCGAAGTAATTTGAAGATATTCTCGAAGGCAAGCCTAAATACGTAAACGAAAGATCTATCTCGATAACAATCTCGATAAATTGACTTTTTGTTCATCTATGAAAGTTTTTAAAGAATATAGAATAATACCGCGTGTTTTGACACCAATGAAGACAATAGAAGGAGACAACATTTTCGTAAAGTTCTATTTGTTCCTCTGGCAAATTCAAAGTTTCGATGTCCAGATGAAGAAAGGATAAGCGTAAATTGTTGCAATAATTTCTTTTCGCATGTTCCAACATGGCATTTGATATATCTGCACCTGTAACCGGGATATTAACAAAATCTATTTGTTTTTCCTTCTTGACAATGTTCATGAACATAAATCATAATAACAACATAAATCATTGGAACGTGATAGAGAATTGTGAGTAATCGATAAATGAAATCAGTTAATGGTCTTACCGGTTATCAAGGATTCCCGTGGCAATCTTGGTAAAATCAGTTCGGTGGTAACGAGTCCAGGACCGCAACCAATGTCGATGCATCGTCCATGCATCTCCCTTAATTCCTTGTCGAATTCCTCTACGATTTCTAAAGTATCGCGGTATTGAAATTTGCTTGCATTCAAGTATTCATTGACTTTCTCCATCCTAAGATCTTATACACCTAAGAGGTACACTTTGATTAAATGATAATTGATTTTTTTTTTTTTTTGCATATAAATATCAAATCTTCAAGTCGTGTATATGGCTTCAATATGATGCCCGCGAACTTTCTCACTACTGACTTTTCGAGCAGAGTTTCGTTTTTATATTCGGTGACTCCCCTACACAAGAGAGCAACTTTCTTGTTCTCCTTCTTCTTCTTCTTCTTCGTCTTCTTCGTCTTTATCTCTTCCCGTCTTACCCGTTTCATTTGATTTCATTTTTTTCCCACTCTATTACTTCTTTTTCCCTGAAACCACACTCTTCCCCTACTTCTATCGTGCCTACCTCAACATCCAAATTCTTTTCTCTCGCTTCGGTCATGTCTCGAGGAGAGAGTAGAAGCAGAAGACGAAGACGAAGAAGAAGAAGAAGAAGAAGAAGAAGTAAAAAGAAAAAAAGGAGGGGAGAAAAAGTAAAGGCCTACAGGACCATGTAGACCTCGTTGAGTCAATGACCCAGCTTCAAAACTAGACTCTTCTTCTTTCCACGGAAATACCCACCTCCAAAACTAAACTCTTCTTCTTTCCACGGAAATACCCACAGGAATAATCCGAAATATTTCTCAACCCGTATAATGTTTACCGTTATTTAAATGTTATGTTTTTTTTTCTTATGTCTTTTTTTTTTTATTTATGATCGTTGGACTCTGATTATCATCTTAGACCTGTCATAATCAACTTTGACTTTTTATTTCACCAGCGATAACACTAGCGCCCAAATATATTACCATCAATTTTCTCTGTCGACTTCGTAATACTTTTTTTAACTGGTCTTTTACATTTCGTCAGCCTAATTTTCCGATAATCGAATAGGGTGAAGGGTTATCTTATAAGGATTTCTTCAGAAAACTTAAATGTTGACCTTCAAATATATTAGATTATTAAGTATTTTATTATTTCGATTGTTTTTAGTTTGGATACTTAATGACCTAATATATAATCACAAAATTTGTGCTCCGTCAATTTTTATTTACAATTATCTTAACGATCGCGAAAGAAATGTCACGATTCGTTGTTGTTAGATTGGACTGTCTTAGATTAGGGCGGGCGGGGGGTAGGAGGTGTCCTGTGGCGAACGTGAACACTTTGAGCATTTCGAACAAGTGGATCTGGTGTATAGTTAGGAACTCTAAATAACATAAGATCCAAAGACGATAGGGGGGAAACTGGTTGTGACCACTTTAGTGGGCCAACTCGGTTTAATCCGATTTTTACCGAACGTTCGCGAATCCCTTTACTACGATCATAAAGAAATATATAATTAAAAATAAACAATTTGATCACATTTATTATGAACAATTTAGAATAAAGAAATTTTCTATTATTATTTATATTAAAAATTATTCGAAATAAATTCATCAGATGGATGCACTTTTTTTTTATTTAAAAAAATCTTTTTCTTATTCTTATTCGTATCGATTAGATTGATCTATTCGTTAGATTTATCGAGGTATGCGAAAGCTTGTAGAGGAACGCGTTCACCTAAAGCACGTTCCATTATATCGATGATAATAGAGGTGAAATCCTATCAAGCAATTCGAACCCTTGAAGCGTTCTTATCTTTCGTTCGCATGTATTTGCCTTTCGGACAGCAGCGTATTTGAATATGCGTCGGCACACTCCATACACTTTCCTGTATTATATAGAGGATGCTTTCCTAATCAAACATTCGTATCTCACATATACATACGTATTATACATAAATACTATGGGAGGGATGAATTGTTATGTCAACTCTCTTTCCTTTTCTTTTTATTTTATTTTGTTTTTTCTTAACAGAAACAGATATGCTTTGTTTTTTTTTTAACCAGGAATAAAATTGTTATTTTAAAATAGAAAACAATTTGTCTAATTTTGAATTTAATTATTATTCAGGTATTCCTTTCTATCAGAATTTAGAGAGAGAGAGAAAGAGAATGGAGAGTGGAAAAGAGGAAAATAAACGCATGGAAAGTGTTGACCATGAGAGAAGGATTATATATATAGGATGAGGGGTGAAAGTGAAGAAAAATCGATTTGCGAGAGAAAGATAGATTAGATGGAACAAAAAATTCATATAATATAATGATCGATTAAAGATAGTAATCTTTGGAATAGTTAGAGATAAAAGATACGAGGTGAATGTTTAATAAACATTTTTTCCTTCTTTTTTTTCTCTTATTTTTTTTTTTTTTTTTCATTTACTTTCGTCTAGTCTTGTTACTTAAAATCCGTGGCCAGAGCTTTCGAATGTATTGAGTGCCGGTGAGGTGCCGTAATACGAAAGACTTTGATAAATGACTGATGTGGAAAAAATCTGCGTCGATACGTCTTGCTCAAGGAGATATGTGTCGTTGGGGGTTGGAAAGAAAACGAGAGAGAAAGAGAGAGAGAGAGAGAGAGAGACAAAGAAATAGAAGTGGAATGAGAATGAGAATAAAATGTTTACCGAACTCTTAGATAAATATTTATTTTTTTTTAACGATCGAAAGAAAGTATTAATATTAAATAAATTCTTTTCAAACAATTTTAACAATTTTGTAGCACATTCATGATGGGTCTCATTTCAGTACAATTTATTTAATTATCACAAGTACTTATACAATTTTGTAAATATTTTTTGTTGATCGTTTAATTTAATTAATGTTAAATGTTTATGGAACAATAATTATAATTTAAAAAAAAAAATAGAAGATAACCGGCTAAGAATGTGTTAAGTAATATGAACGTCTTTGACAAATATCAAGAAAATTAGTGTATGGTCCAGACATTGGAATCAGGATCGGTCGATCGTTCGTTCTTTCGTGGATGCGTGCTTTATCGGAAAACACTGAGTGAGATATATGGTGAGATTATGCGAGATGGCGTTTCGGAGTCGAACAGGGTGCTATTCTCCGCTCCGTCAATTATGCTAATTTCGATTGCTACGAGATTAATGAAAGAAGGCACCGTTCTCCGTTGAATCCTGACGGTGGAAACGTGACGTTCTTATCCTTACTCGTTCGACCATGTATAATGCCTTAGACTTGTAATTATTGCACCTTACTCAACCTTTATTAATCTCCTTTTTCTAATCATTTCGAATTGTTTAATTAGATGGAAACAACATTTTACTAATATCATTTTTCTAAAAGTAAGATACAACTATTTCTATTTAAATTCAATTATTTAAAGTATTGTGAGGTCATTTTATATTTCCTTTTCCTTTGAAAAGAAAAATGAAAAGAAAAAAAAAAAAGAGTTCTCAGTACTTAAATAGAAACAACATTTGTATTCTAATTTCTATTGAAAAAAGAAGAATAAAAAAAAGAAAACATATGCACATAAATCCAAGTACTTATAAACATATTGAAAAGATATATTGTGTGTCTGTTATTTATAATATATGTTTCTTTACAAGTATATGTCAAATATTCAAGTTTCTTTCTTACAAAAGGATAAAATAATCTATCTGTGAAGTAACTATTGTGACCTTAGAAGGAATGCATCGTAAGTTTGATTTAGTATGTAGTTTTCCATGGTAAATAGGAAGAAAGAAAATGAGAGCGAGAGCGAGACATAGATAGAGAGAGGGAGAGAGAGAGAGAGAGGGAGGGAGAGAGGAAGGTAGGAAGAGGAAAGCGAGGGTTGGAGATACTCGGAAGAAGAGTAGGTATAGAGAGAAGGAAGAGGCGGGGGGAGGAGGAGGTCGACTGGCGACAGAGGCGCATCAATAATACATATCGTCTGCCGCCCACACCACACCACCTACTCTTTTGCCCTCTTTCCTTGTCTTCCGTATCTTCGCGGGTTATAACTGGCTCTCTGACGCAAGTGACCTCTCTTTCTATTTCTCTCTCTTTCACTCTTATTCTCTTTCGTTCGTTCATTCTTCTCTCTTTACTTTTTCTCTTTTTATTCCTCTTTGGTCCTCTTTCAACACTCGACTTTAGTACGTATTGCATTGTCATTCAAAAAGTTTTTCCCCTACACCACACTCTCCTTCCTTTCGTTCTATCTTTACGTAGCTAGCTCATCCACACAAAAGCAAAAGAAACGAAAAGATGGAAGAGATCATTGGTTGATAGATAGATAGATAGATAGATAGATATCGAATTTTTTATTTCGGGAAATCGATTATAGATCAGCGTACCTCTCTAAAGAAACTATCCCTTTTTTTTCCCTTCTTTCATTACTTTTCTCTTTTTATTTAACCCCCTTTCCCCTCCCGTCCCTAACAGAATTTGAACCTAGAGAAAGTTTCGGAATAGCTGGAGTGAGTGAGTGAGTGAGTGAGTGAATGGCTGACGAGAAAAGGGGAAAAAGTATTGACGGTCTTATTAAGGAGTTACACCGACACTCTGTAAAATCCTCTCTTCCTGGCCTCTCTTTCTTTCTCTCATCTCTTTCTTTCCTTCTGAGAGGATCTTTCTATACGCGAGGAAGAGGAGAGGGCCTTTCTGCTCGTGGAAAAAATATGAAAATCCATACAGTCGCTAGGAGAAAATATCCGTCATTTAAAATGGATGGATTTAGGTGGATATAAAAGTGAGGGGTGGAAGAAACCGGTGGTAACGTTCCTCTTAGTGTTGGTGGAGAGAGAAAGAGAGAAAGAGAGAGAGAGAGAGAGAGAGAGAGGCACATCTACGCATACAGACACATAGACAGACACATAGATATTGTGTAAGGAGGTGGGTTGGGAGGGGTGACTACTGAAAGTCGGTAGACGCTATGGAGGTGGCGACGACAGTGGAGGTGGTGGAGATGCTGCTGCTGCTACTGCTGCTACTACTGCTGGTGCTGATGCTGGTACTGGTGCTGGTGCTGCTGATGCTGATGGTGGCGGCGGTGGCGGCAGTGGTGGTGGTGGAGGAGGTGGTGGTGGTGGTGGTGGTAGTATGGGTGGCTGCTGCTAGTGGTTGCCAGTGGTGCTGGAGATTTAAGGGAGACATTTTAAATAGATGGTTCTCTCAGAGAAGCCCGGGGTCTCTGGCATTATCCAATAGCGCGGCTCATCTCGTATCTACCTTCGCGTTTCTCCGCGAGAGAAAGAGAATTCTCTTTCTCTATCTCTTTCTATTTTTCTTTCTTTCTTTCTTTCTCCCC